TTCAGAGAATGACTGGAGTAGTATAAAGAAAGAATCAAAAGTAAAGAGATCTGGGTGCCAGTTTATCCCAGTCACTGAGCAGATGTGCTTCTTTAGGCAAGTCATCTACCCTCTCTATGTATTTTCGCAAAACAAGTGACAATTTTTGCACCTTTATTTATTGAATATATTGGTTCCAAACTCTTGACATTCACTCATTAACTTAATAAATATTTGAGTACCTTAATGAGCTAACCCTTAATACTGGAGATATAGTGATATAAAACAAATCCCTTTCCTCAAGGAGCTTACATATTACTGGGAGAACATAAAATGAACAAATAAGAAAATATGCAATAAAATATCAAATGATGATACATTCTATGGAGAAAAAGAGAGGCAAGTTCTGGGACTAGAGAGTGACAGTAAGGGAGGTGAAGGGTTAAAATTTTAATATCTCTCATTTGATCATTGAAACAACCACCCTGTGAGATAAGCATTTGTATTTACATGTTGTTACTGAGGAAAGTGCAGCTCAGAAAAGTTAAGTACTCTTCCCAGTATTACACAGCTAGCAGGTAGTAGAAATAGGAATTGAACTTAGATATGACTCCAAATGTTATTCTCATAACTAATATATCATCTCCCAAATAGATATAGCTTCTAGGCATGGTGACTAGCACAGAGGAGTCATGCAATGAATGTACTTATTATTATTATTGCTTCTGTAACTGCATTTATTTGTCACATAACATCCCATTTCATAGATGGAGAAATTGAGTCTTAGAAAGATCAAAACATTTACTTAAATTCATTTAGTTGTTAAGCAATAAATCTGAGATAACTATTCTGGCCCGATTGACCAAAAAATGTATACTTTTTCTACTATGATAATCTACCTTCTCTCCATAATATGAGGACAGTGGTATAACTGCACAGGAAAATCCAACTAACGTTGGCAGGCAGGTATTCAAAAAATTATAGAACAGTATGTGTTTCTAAATGTTTTTAGTAATCGTTATTTCCTTTTGCCCAATAATGGTCAATATCTTGGATATTGGGTAATCCAGAATACCAAAGAAGAAAACATTTCTCACATGCTTTTTGTTGGGATCATTAAAGAGTTTACCTCAGCCCTTAAGCTTCATTCAATTATAAGGAGTCTTTTGGAGATGTATTATTTTAATCAAGGTATTCCTTTGCTGCACATCATGAGGAAAGCAAGCACCTAGTCCTAGGAGCATATAAACATATTTTTTCTGGTAATTTCTAAGTGAAATGCAGGCTGAGTTTCCAAATCAGGATGCTCCTTCTACTGAAGATCATGCTCAATATTTTGCAGGAGTCAAGAAAACTGATTTGGCAGCAGTACTTACTCATCAGGGTGATACATCAGAAGAGTGGGTAGGCTTGTATTACAGACTGGGGAAGTTCAAACTACTCCAGGCATCCTATTCATGGTTTTCAGCCAGCCTTTGGAAGTGCTTATTGCCAATTTAAGTTGGAAGTTGAAAGACTTCCCTCTAAGTATTGATCGGTTTTCCCTTTTCATTATATAGGAGCTATCAGTTCCATTGAAGCATTAAAATCTATCAGATCTCCTGGGAAATGGTGTATTCCAGCTAAACCTAAGGGTCATCTTTGCAATTGTCTTCCACTTGCAACATCCATAATTAGAAAATAATAAAACCAAGATATGCTTAGTGGTTTAAAGTATTTTGAATTTGAATTACTATCTTAAAGATTTTGCTGATGGCATCAGGAAAGCTGGGCTGTGGGCAAGAGACACTGGTAATTATTTTCTTAATTTCCTCAACTGGAAAGCCTAAACAAAAAACTTTTTCGGGGGTTAGTATTCTGCTTGCAACCCAGGGTGTCTATGGGAAAATATAATCATGTAAAATGCTTATCATCAGAGCATAGGGTAGTTGGAATAGCAAACTGAATTTTAAACCTCATACACATTAGTATTTAATTGTACCATTGAACAGCTTTTCCAGTGGATTTTATTTGGTGTTCTTGGTTTTCCAATAATAAACTTATGATTAGATTGCTTACATGAAAGTAGGAGAGCCCCTCTTTTGGAAAAAAATAAGGAAACTTCAAAAGAATTCTCTAATATCACTATTTACACAAAATTTTAGTTCTCTCACCCTAGCCGGTGCTCAGTGGTTAGAGCGTCAGCCCATGGACTGAAGGGTCTCGGGTTTGATTCTGGTCAAGGGTATGTACCTCATACTTCAGTTGCAGGCTTGATCCCCAGCCCTGGTTGGGGCGCATGGGGGAGGCAACCAATCATGTGTCTCTCTCACACATGGATGTTTCTCTCTTGGTCTCTCCCTTTCCCTTCCACTCTCTCTAAAAATCAATGGAGAAAATAAATATCACATGACCTCACTCATTTGTGGATTATAAGGAACAACATAAACTGATAAACAAAAACAGATCCAGAGACAGATAAGCATCGATCAGATGCTCAAACCTCAGAGGGAAGGTAGGGGAGGGTGGGGGTAAGGGGGAGAGATCAACCAAAGGACTTGTATGCATGCATATAGGCCTAACCAATGGACACAGACACCGGGGGGAGGGGGTGAGGGCATGAGTGGGGATAAGGACACACATGTAATACTTTAATCAATACATCAATAAAGAAAAAAATAAAATAAATCAATGGAAAAAATATCCTCAGGTGAGGCTTAATAACAACAAAAATTTAGTCTTCTCTGGGAAAGCAATATAAAGTTTGAACTTAAAAAATATCACCTTTCCATTCTCTCATCTTGATATGATTTAAGCTTTTATCAGTAAAGAACCAGATATTCTATTTCAAATCAAAAACAAACTCCAAAAATTCATCCTGAAAAGTAAGGTCTATGCATTGAAAAGTTATTGAGCTTTTCATTTGAATCACTAAACCCTTTTTATTTTCAACAACTCTTTTGAATCTTCCCAGTTCAGACATTGAATATTACCCCAAACAGTTACCATTTTTGCTTTTCAGAGATTTATTGGGCCAAATATTTGACAAAGATAGTGCCTGTAAGTGCTGAGATGCAGGTGTGCATGGCTGGACTTGGCACCCAGCAGTGGCCATTAATGCCAAACCCAAGTCCATTGTATTTATATTGCTGCAGGCACAACAGATGTAGGTGCAACTTGTTTTGGAAATCATTCCTATTTTCTATAAATCTAGTTAGTGCTTCAAAAACATTCTCCAATTATGAAACCAAGCCAATTTAGAAAGTCACCACTGTTAAATATACAGAATTGTTAAATATGAGCCTCATCACAATACGGTGATCATTTATTCATTAGTCATCTAGATTAAGTTCATGTCTCAGGGTGCTTAGTTAGAAATGAATGTCAAACTTGCAAGGTTTTATAATTGTCATGCCTTTGTTATATAGCAAATGGCCACATGCTGGTCTGTAAATAATTAGTTTGGCCTGAAAAATTGCTTATCTGTGCCTTGATGAAGGTCTTCTGACAGGAGTTAGTATAGATGGTATCTTATCTGAATCAATCCTTATTCTTAATCAAAGGGGCCAGTTGCAATTAGCCCTATGATTTGAATCTCCTTTTGAGCCCTTCTAAATATGTAAATCTTCCCTTCTCTTTACGTAGATTTCTGTTTGAATGTACACTGGAGAAGTGCAAGTGTTACAATGGCACACATCACATCCTGCAGAAATTGAAGTCAAAGCATTCTTTCATATTCCCATTACAATACTGTTAGAGTTTACAATTAGGTCAACTCAGTGACCTCTATTTAGGTGAGGGTGGAGATGGAGAAGGGTCATTTCACGCTTTTCAATTTGCCAGTGTCGAGATGTAATTGTACATGCAGCTTAGATTGTACAGCATCTTGATGCCCGTGTATTCTTAAAGGTTTAAAGAAAATTTTATCAGACCTGGATAAAAGTCTTTTTGTTGAATTCTGGCATGTTATATATCACACTGACACTGAACTCCTGAGACAGGCAACAAATAGTAGGTTAATATTTGAGCTTATTTGTTAGAATGAGCAAATCCCTTGTTGTATAAAGGCTGTGAAAGAAATTGGCTTCCTGTTAAGCACACTTCAATTTGTGGGGTCATATTGCAGGCCTTTGGCCATACCTCTCCTGTCTTTAGAGCCTCTCTTTGATCGAGTTAGTCTGATCATGGTGCAGAGTAGCCAGAGCCCAAAGGGTTTATGAATTCTTTTGATAGTTCAGTTTAGTAAAGAAATCTTTCCTGGGAAGCCATGTGAATTGTAGTTTTGAATCAATGCGGCTGGGTGGAAATAAGGGGGTTCAGGCCAAAGTCACTTGGGATCATTGGAATGCTATTTGAATAAGTCGGCATGAATGTCTCATTAATTATATCAACTGTTTTGATAGGTTCACATACATTCAGATGCTTATCTTCATAGCTCCGGTAAATTTCCATTGGAGCCTCCTCATCTGCAGAAGGAATACTAAGCTTCCCAAGGAAATGGATGTTTTTTATTTCCATCAATGCCTAAGTACAACCTGGCGCATATTTGGAGCTCAATAACTATTTGTTGAATGGGTGATATTGTTGAATGAGTTTTGAGAAACGGGCCTTTTAAAGCTGAGTTATAATGAGAAGGCTTCATAATGATCTTATTAGAATGAATGGAGAGGGAAAAGTAGAGTAATTATGGGTATGACCACAATTAAAATTTACATCAGCTTTCAATACTATGCAATCACTAATAAAATTATATTGATCCTATGAAAACTATTAAAGGGCTTCTGTCATTGCAATACTAAATCCAAGAAAAGTTTTACATTTGCCCTCTAAAGCAGAGCGGTCCTTTAAAATAAGGCTTTTCCAGAGGTAATGAATCATCATAACTTGATCATGCCTCTTAGTTTTAACTGTTAAGTATCGTGTCAAAACCTACTTGTCAGTTTCATAATGTGTGAGTTATTGATATAAACTTACATTTGGTTTAAGTGTGTATTATATTTCATATTGTTATATAGACTGTCATGTCAGGCCAGTTTGGTCATTTGTTCATATCTAAATCATATGTTAAAAAAGAATACATTCGTTCTTTTGTGCAGATCATTAAAATGTTTGAACTATTTTTTAAAATATATTTTTACTAGTGGCCCGGTGCATGAAATATGTGCACTGGGGGGCGGGGGCGGGTCCCTCAGCCCGGCCTGCGCCCTCTCACAGTCCGGGAGCCCTCGGGGGATGTCCAACTGACTTAGCAGAGGTAGGAGAGGTCGGCTTCTGGCTGAGCGGTGCGCACTGACCACCAGGGGGCAGCTCCTGCGTGGAGCGTCTACCCCCTGGTGGTCAGTGCACATCACAGCGACTGGTCGTTCTGCCATTCGGTCAATTTGCATATTAGGGTTTTATTATATAGGATTGATTTCAGAGAGGAAGGGAGAGGGAGAAAGATAGAAACATCAATGAC